TGAAGTATATACTTAAACATTATTTAATTTTTTTTCCGTTTTGCATTATTGATATAAACTGACCTAAAAAAAAAATCACATTGTTCCACAATACTAAGGGTATGAATAAATCAATTTATTTTTATCAAACTATTTTAAGGAAAACATACTACACGTCCTAATTAGGTATTTTCAACGTAAGTTTTGAAGCTATGACAATATTTGCTTTTAGAAAAACCATTTTAATATCACTAAATCAGAGAAGAAAGAACCTGATACAGAACAACAGAAAATAACGAATGTGCCATTTTAAAACATTTAAAGATTAAGAGGTGGTTGTGCTCTACCACATCTACCAGGGGACAGGTGGTGAGCGCCTGAGAATATGCCGATACACAACCATCATATAATTGTTAATATGACACTAAACTGTCTCAGAGAAAACAATTTCAGCTTACATAAAGAAACTAGACAGATTGCCTCAAACAACTCACCAACATACAATCATAAAATATAGCACCAGAAATGGTATCAGAAGTACCTAAAAAGGAATTAAAAAAAAAAAAAAAACACAACTAATTAGGCAACTTCAGTGGAAAGTGAGAAAGACAGAAAAAGTTACATATGAAATCAAGGAAAGCATAGACAAACTATGGAAAATTTCAGGAAACTAACAACATCATTGAAAAAAATGGGAACAATACAAAAACAATTAGAGAGCACAAAGAATAATGCTAAAACTTCAGAAATAGGCAAAGAAACAGAAATGAGTCAATGGAAATGTGAATTTCTCAGCTTGAACAAAACTCACAATATTCATCTGCTAGAGGACTATATTTTTTTTAAAAAAAGAAAAACATATATAAGGAAAGTTTAAGATTAAGGTGGGACACGATTGAAACGAATAACTTACGTGTGATTGGAATTCCAAAACAGAAAGAGACCAATACACCCATAGAGAATACTGTCAAAGAGTTGTTGGAAGAAAACTTCCCTAACATAATGAAAGATGAGATGCTAGCCAATCAATAAGTTGCACAAACCTCAAACAGGAGAGATCCAAAAAGAAAAACAAAAAGACATAATCAAACTTTTCAAAATCAAAGACAAGGAAAGAATACTGAGAGCAGCTCAGGAAAAACAAAAAGTTACCTGCAAAGGAGAACTACTAAGATTCAACACTGATATCTCAAAAGAAACAATGCAAGCAAGAAGATAACAGAATGACAAATATAAAATTTTGAAAGAAACAAAAAACATATATCTAGCACAACTGTCCATCAAGGATGATGGAAAAATTAGGTCATTTTCAGACAAATGGAAATTAAAAGAATTTGTAAACACAAGATCAAACTTACAAAAAAACACCAAAGAGAGTTCTTCAGACAGAGAACCAACAACAGCAGACAACAACCTAAGACTAACATATATGACATTATCACCTAGACTCAACGCAGATATGTTGTTGTTAGGTGCATCAAGGCAGTACCAACTCTTAGCAACCCTATGCACAACAGAACAAAACACTGCCTGATCCTGGGCCAACCTCACAATCGTTACTACATCTGAGCCTATTGCTGCAATCACTTTGCCAATCCATCACACTGGGGGTCTACCTCATTTTCTCCGACCCTCCACTTTACCAAACATGATATCCTTCTCTAGAGACTGGTCCCTCCTGAAAATATGTTCAAAGTATGAGTAACGAAGCCTGGTCATCCTGGTTTCCAAGGAGCACTCTGGCTGTAAGGTACTTTCAATATTCTCTGCCAACAGCATAACTCAAATGCATCAATACTACGGTCTTCCTTAGTAACTGTTCTACTTTCGTATGCATATGAGGTTATTGAAAATAACATGGCTTGGATCAAGTGTATCTTAGGCCTCTAAATGACACCTTTGCTCTTGAACACTTTAAAGAGGTCCTATGCAGCAGATTTGCCTAATGCAATACATCATTTGATATCTTGACTGCTGCTTCCACTAGTGTTAATGGTTGATCCATGAAAAATGAAGTCTTTAACAACTTTCGTCTTTTCTCCATTTATCTAGATGTTGTTTATTGGTCCTGTGGTGAGGATTTTTGCTTTCTTTACATTGAGATGCGACCCATACAAAAGGCTGTGGTCTTTGATCTTCATCAGTAAGTATTTGACCTCTTCTTTGCTTTCAGCAAGCAAAGTTGTATAATCTGCATATTGTAGGTTGTTAATGAGTCCTCCTCCAATCCTGATGTCATGTTTTTCTTCAGATACTCTAGCATCTCAGATTATTTGCTCAGCATACAGGCTGAATAAATATGGTAAAAGAATACAACCCTGGTGCATAGCTTTCCTAATTTTAAACCATTCGGTGTTTCCCTGCTCTGTTCGAACAACTGCCTCATGGTCCATGTACAGATTCCTCATGAGCACAATTAATTGTTCAGGAATACTCATACTTTGCAATGTTGTCCATAACTTATCATAACCCACACAACTGAAAGCCTCTGCACAGTCAATAAAGCACAGGTAAACATTTTTCTGATATTCTCTGCTTTCAGCCAAGATCCATCTGATGGCAGCAATGATATCCCTATTCAACATCCTCTTCTGATTCTGGCTTGAACCTCTCGAAGTTCTCTGTCAATGTATGGTTACAATCATTTTTGGATTATTTTTAGTAAAACTTTACTATTATGGGATATCAATGATATTGTCTGAAGACTTCCACATTCCATTGCGTCACCTCTCTGGAATGGGTACAAATACGTATCTCTTCCAGTCAGCTGACCAGTTCCAAATTTCTTGACATAGATAAGGGAATACCTCCAGTGCACCAACAATTTGTTAAAAGCCTGTACCTTGTATTCCATCTAATCCCAATGCCTTGTTCTTTACTAATGATTTCAATGCACCTTGGACTTCTTCCTTCAGGACCACTGGCTCTTGATCATATGCTATCTCTTCAAATGGCTGAACATGGATCAATTCTTTTGGGGACAGCAACTTTATATTCCTTCCATCTTCTTTTGATGCTCTCTGTATCATTCAATATTTTGCCCATAGAATCCGTCAATATCATAAATTGAGTTTTTAATTTTTTTCTTCAGTTACCTCAACTTGAGAAATGCTGAGAGTGTTCTCCCCCTTTGGTTTTCTAACTCTAGGTGTTTGCACATTTCATTATAATATTTGACTGTCTTCTCAAGCTGAACTTTGAAATTTTTTGTTCAGCTCTCTTACCTCCTCATTTCTTCCATTTACATTAGCATCTTATGCTGGAGAGCAAGTTTCAGAGTTTCTTCTGACAACCATTTTGGTCTTTTCCTTTTTTCTTGTCTTCTTAATGCTTTCTTCCAGCATGATGTTTCTTGATGTCATCCCGTAACTCTTTTGGTCTTTGGGTTTTAGTGTCTAATGCATCAAATCTGTTCTTCAGATGATTTCTAAATTCAGGTGGGATATATTCAAGGTCAGAGTTTGGCTTGCATGGACTTGTTTTAATTTTCTTCAGCTTCAGCCTGAATTTGCATCTGAGCAGCTGATGGTCTGTTCCACAGTCTGCCCCCTGGCCTTGTTATGGCTGATGATATGGAGCTTTTCCACCTATCTTTCCACAGATGTAGTCAATTTGATTTCTCTGTATTCTATCTGGTGAGGTCCATGTGTATATTCGTCTTTTATTTTGTTTTAAAAAGTGTTTTGCAACGAAGAAGTCATTGGTCTTGCAAAATTCCATCATGGGATCTCCAGCATAATTTCTATCACTAAGGCTATATTTTCCAACTACATGTTTCTTGCTCTTTGTTCTCAACTTTTGTATTCCAATTGCAGTAATTATCAGTACATCTTAACTGCATATTTGCTCAATTTCAGATTGACAAAGTTGGAAGAATTCTTCAATTTCATCATCATTGGCTTTAGTGGTTGTTGCAAAAATTTGAATAACATTGGTGTTACTGGTGTTCTTTGTAGGCATATGGATATTATCCTATCACAGACAGCATTGTACTTCATGACTGATCTTGCTATGTTCAACGCAGATTTAGAATTATGCAAAGTAAAACAGATCTATAAGACTATAAATAGAGAACCAGCAATACTATTTCAACAACTATCAAAAATGCCCGTAAAGTAGAAAGAAAAAATAATGTAGTTACAGAATGCAATGATTAGAGTTCTGTGTCAATTAGACTAGGCCAACCTTTCTAGAGGTTTAGCAGTTGGGATGTTCTTCTTCCCATGGTGGAAAAACCTAATATAAGCATGGTTAGCTCTATGATGAGTGAGCAACGAATCAATTGAAGGGATGCTTCCTTGGTGGTGTGGCCTGCTCCCAATATAATGGACATGGGGAAGGACTCGCTCTCTCTCCTTTTGGGGACCTGGCACTCTACAATTGTAAAACAATAAACTTCTCTTTATATATATCCATATATATGTTTAACTGGTTTTGCTTCTCTAGAAAACCCTGCCTAAGACATAGAACTTCCAAATTAAGAGCAAATCAAACAGATTTCAGGGGATACAGAGAGAGAGATGGATGGATGGATTGATAAGATAGATATGATAACATAGATTAGATCAAATAGATAGACAGACAGACAGACAGACAGACAGATAAATAGATAAAAGCCTAACTATAACCAGAAGTCCTGGTATGATACTATAGGATAAGCACTGGACTGCTATCTGCAAGTTTGGCAGCTACTCCTTGGAAACCCTACAAAGTAGCTATTAGTAAGAACCAACTCAATGGCACTTAGCAACAACAACAACTATAACTCTAAAAACTAAACCAAGCCTTACTTCTAGCTCTAGTCCAACCCTTGCTCTTAACACTAACCCTAGTCCTAACCATAACCTTCACAATAAATGAAATCCTAGACCTAGGCTAGAGCTAGCCATAGTTCTAAACCAAACACTCACTCCTTATTCCTACCCAACCCCCAACAAAACAAGAATTGCTTTTGTATCAAACAAGTGTATTCCCTAACTCCTCCCCTACATTAGAAAAGGTAACAATAAATGGTTCATTACCTTTACATTTGGCTTCTTTGTTGACACACCTCTGTACCAACCTAAAACAAAGCATACAAATAATATTAAAATCACATAGTTGCCATTTACTATAAGATATAATCTGAGTATTTTTAGAAAAGACAGATGAATGTGAGACTTTCCTGAAAACACCAATGTAACTTTATTAGGTACTACAATCCTGGTGTGGCCCTATAGGATAAGCTCTGGACTGCTAACTACATTAGAAACCCTATACAAGTTTGCTGTGAGATGGAACTAATTCAAGGGCACTTAACAACAATGAGAGTTGTTCTGTGCCTTCAAGTGGTGCTGTAGGATAAGCACTGGTCAGTTAATCACAAGGTCAGCAATTCACACCCACCAGTTACTCTTAAAACCCTAAACAGGGTGACTGTGAGTAAGAACAAACTTGATGGCACACAACAACAGCAAGAGCTGTTCTGATAGTTTACTTTCATAGGAACAGTCTTAAAATGAATACAAGATTCCCAATTTTCATCACAAGGAATAAGTCTGCTTAACTAAGATATAAAAAGTAAGAAAAGACTCCAGAGAACAAGTAATTCAACGTCAAAAAAATTCCCAGAAATATTTGTTAAGGTACAGAGAAATACTATAATCACATGATTGTTTATGGTGGCAGGAAGGGAAAAGAACACAGATTTTCCTGGTCTCATTAAGTCTCCCATTTGCTCTAATATACTACCTACATAAAGTTGATATAATTGCCAAGGCAAATCGCCCACTTCATTTACAAACATTACCTTAGAGATGTTGAAGGTTCGTTTCCAGACCTCTACAATGAAGTGAAAATCACAGTAAAGCAAATCACACTAATTTTTTTCCCATTGCATGTAACAGTTCCATCTAGATGTGCAATAGCATTATAAAAAAGTTTGAAATATTTTGAGAATTATCAAAATGTGACAAAGGGATACAAAGTAAATACATACTGCTGGGAAAATGGCACTGTTAATGCACAGGGTTGGCACGGGTTGCTACAAACCTTCAATTTATTTAAAAAACAAAACAAAAAACCCCACAATATCTGTGAGGTACAGTTTAAAAAGGTATGCCTGTTTTCCCTTTCAGAAGTCATACATATCAATACAGAAGTTACTATTATTGTGGTGTGAAGATCACTTTAAGATGACCTTTCTAGCCACGTCTTGCTAAACCCCACAAAATGGTTGGGTTTTTTTAAATTTGTTAAGTGCTGTCAAGTTCGTTTAGACTCATAGTAACCCTATGTAGAGTTTTCAAGGAATGAGTGGTAGGTTTGAACAGCTGACCTTGAGGTTAGCAGTCCAGTGCTTATCCTACACACCACACCAAAGCACAAATGATTATGTGGGGCTATGCAAAAACGGTGCTTGTGGTTCACTAAGTTGTACTAAACAGCTTGCTAGTAAAGATTGACGGGACCCTTTTTATTAGGAAAATGTTTTAAGAAAATTGAAAACTACATTGTTGAGAAAAAGGCAAAGTGAGTTGCACCGAGAAATTTTTTTTAATAATGACAATGTACCTGCTCATTCTTCCAGGGAGTAAGGGCTATCCAATAAGAACTTCCATGGGAAAGCTTATACTATCCACCACTAACCCTGATTTTTACCCTTTGGATATCTTTTTGTTCCCAGAAGTCAAAGTACATTTCAAAGGAAACGAGATTTGAAACACTCAAGGATGCCAAAACTGCTGTTTTGATGTGGTATAAATCAAAAAGTGTAGAATTCTTTGGGGAAAGGGTTAGTGCATGAAAACACTATCTTCAGAAGTGTATAGACGTAAATGTAACAATAGCATTACATTTTCATGTATTTATTTAATACAGGTTTCTATAATTTTATGGAATCCTGGTGAGGTGGCTGTGGGTTAATACACTGGACTGTAAATTCAGTTTGAACAGCAAAGTCAGCAGTTCAAGCTCACAAGCCGCTCCTAGGAAACCCTATGCAGGGTCATTATAAATCTGAACTGACTTAACAATAACAACAACAAATGATTTTATAGCAATGTTTTTGGCAAACCAAAGAAAGATATAAAATTGTCTCCATTCTGAGAGGACAGTAATTGTGTAGGCAAAAAAATTCCCAGGAATATACTAGAACAAATGAGCATAATAATATTGCAAGACATAAGACCAATATATAAAACTTCCTATACACTGTTGTTGCTAGATGCCACAGGTATACAACAGAACAAAACACTGCCAGTCCGTGCATCATTCTCACAATTGTTGTACCTATTATACTTAGTCAAAGAACCCAGACTCAAAAGGCAATTGATTGATTCTATTTATGTTATGAAAAAGGTAAAATTAAAAAGTTCAGAAAACAGGTTGGTGGTTATCAAAGACTGTAGGCAGGAAAGAGTTTAACAAAAAAAAACTGGCATAGAGGAATTATCAGTGTGGGGGAAGTAAAAAAGGTTTTAATGAAATTGTCCTTTGTCTTGATTATGATAATGATTACATTACTATGCATTTGTCAAAACTGCATGCTATAAAGTGGGAAGTGAAGCGTCCAGCTGATAAGAAGAGAGGGCATATGCATAAGAACACCCACACTTGAAAATAATACCCACTTGACCTGGCTTCAATGACTGGATGATCAGAGCTCAACCAGAAGAAGAAATGAGGAAAAAAAAGACTAACCTGATACAATTTGATGAACTTGACCTAAACCTATGGATGCAGTAGCTCAAAAAAGGGATCAAATCTTTACAGCAAGGATCATTCCCACCCCCTCCATACACAGAGTAGACAGGGATGGGCAACTTGGACATTGGCTACCCAAAGTGAGGGGGCTACAAAGGCAAGAAGCGACTGCCTTACAAGCTTTCAAGAGGGAACCTAGATCCAAAAGGCATGGAGGAAGGTAGAATTTCCACTGAATAGTATCCAATCTGTCTGGGTGGGGCTGATGAAAGGAGATGCGGCTAGGTCTCTTGTGGTACAACAGTGAATAATTGTTATCAGGACTAACTGTGAGGATTGGAAATGTAAAGGTAGATGTTTTGCAGCAAAAGGAGGGGAGTGATTGTCCAGGAGCGGAGTTCCCTGGGACCATCAAGAGGCCAGAGCAGATTGCAGGAGCCTACCCAGAGAAACAGTGATGCCAGAGATGGAGGCAGAAACCATAACATGGAGAGATGGAGTAGCTGGGAACTCTAGACCCAGAGAGGGAGAGGGCAGTGTGCTGACAATCGGGGAGCAGGCTTGCAGGGTATACCCTTTGGATGGTTGATGATGCATGGAGGGAATTGTAACGATGGCAATGAAACGATACAGAATAGGATGAATGTAAAGCTAATGTTCTTCTATGTAAATTATCACATGACTCACAATAAAACATTTTTTCAAAAAGTATCAAAACACTATACAACGGAGTTGAGAAAATAAGGAAGAAGTGAGGAAAGCGCTACAGGAAATATCAAGTAAGATAGATATAGCACTGGAAACAATTCAAAACCTACAGAAAGAAGTCCAAATGATTAATTATAGAATATCAGAATTGGACAATACACTGAAAGGGCAAAGGAGTAGAACTGAAGAGAAAGAAACTAGAATTAGTGAGCAATAAGATAAGTCTCCCAACACTACTAAGATAGAAGAGCAAACACCAAAAAGGATTTTAAAAATCAGAAGGCCTAATATTCATGTTGGACAACATGGAGAAGAATAGCTTAAGAATTACTGGCATTCCAGAACAGGAAAAATCACACAAGTCCACAAAGGAGATACTTGAAGAGCTACTGGGAGAAATTTTTCCTAATATCCTGAAAAGTGAAAAGATAAGCATTTAAGAAATTCAACAAACCCCAGGAAGGATAGACCCTAAAAGAAAAAAAAAAATCACTAAGACATATAATAATCAAGCTCTCCAAATTCAAAGATAAGGACAGACCCTGGAAGCAGCTAAGGAAAAGAAAAGTGTAACACACAAAGGCAAGCAACTCAGATTAAGCTTGGATTTCTCAACAGAAAGCATGCAGGCAAGAAGGCAATAGGGAGACATATATAAAACTCTGAAAGAAAAAAAAATGCCAACCAAGAATCCTCTACCCAGCAAAGCTGCCAATCAAATACAATGGTATAAACAAAACATTCCAGAATAAACAGAAGCTAAGGAATTTTGCCAAAGCCAACCCTGCTATGAAACACATCCTAAAGGAAGTTCTGTGGACTGAGAACCAACAAGAACAGACAACAACCAGAGAATGATGTACATGGCAGCATCACCCTGAACTCAACTGACAAATGAAGAATCAAGAATAGAATAAAATTGTAAGAACAGAGGATCTGGGAGGTCTGTCTATAAACAAAACAATTACAATGTAAAAGAATGTAAACACAAAGGAACACAGATCCAGGTGGTGGGAAGGTCAGGTAGATTACAGGATAAAATAGACTGTCTTAAATGGAGGGAAGAGTTAATGGAATATAAAATAACCATAACAGTGGGGTTAGGGTGGGTGATTTCGTTTGGGTTTTGGGTAGGGCAATACAAGAAGGGGGAGGAGGCAGAAGAACAAGATAGATAGGGGAACAATGAGTCAGTTTTTCATGGCCTAAGTGGGACAGAGGTAAACAGTGATGCATGTGCAACCTTGGAACAACAGGGCTCTGTGATACAGGGATCTACGCATAGCTTGAAGAGGGGGAATAATACTAAACTGCTTGACTGACTTATGAATATTGGTTTCCCTTGCCTACTATTGTAAATTAGACACTTAAGTGGGATAGAAAGGAATGTTGGGAAACATGATTACAAAAACCTTATAAGCCCGTCTTCAGTCTATAACTGATTGGAATACCTAAAAGGGGTTCTAAAAATTGCCCAGTGAAATAGGCCTCTTGTAAAGCTTTTGCAGAGTATTGGACCTTAGGTGAATCCTGAGTCCCATCCAGAAACTTATGAGATGAGACATTCCCACTAGCAAAGACAAGCAGACCAGCCTGGAACAACTAGAGCAACAGAAGATACACCTTCAAAGAAAGATCATCAGGAAAAAAACAAAACAAAAATGTCAGCAT